AGTGCAACAGAACAGCAAAATGTTATTCTGACCACATTTATCCCGTGTCTTCCATGTCAGCGGTCGACATCGCAATCCTTGCCTGCTGTCAAGAGGCAATAATGAATCCTAAAGGATAGGCAAAAAAACTAGGTCAGCAATGGAATTGAAGGACATGATAAGTAAAATAAAAGGAAACATGTATTCGCTGCGTTCGTGGCTTGCAGAGGGCTCCCATCCAGGTTTGAATGGCTAGCTTCTCTGTGAGCCCCGAGGAACGCGAATTAACTGCTTTTTTTCACAAAACACGTCAACTGCTGGTCGCTTTGTGGTTTATCAGGGGGCTCCCATCCAGGTTTGAATGGCTAGCTTGCCTTATGGATCACAAAACTGCCAGTAGTTGACATGTTTTATGAAGGAAATAGTGGCTCAAACACACACCGTAAATGGAGAGCCGTGGTACAAAAGACAGAATAAAAGGTGAAGCTTGCCGAAGTCAGGTCAGTGGTATTATTACGGAGTGATGAAGTAATAACTTAATCACGTTAGCGACGCATCTCGACACGGCATCTCTTACGTTAATTTGTTGATCCCTCAGAGGTCATCATCGTTTATCTCTGTCATCAACCACTATCTCCCTCCTACCTTGCTGCTCCTCTCATATCCCTACCCTCAAAGCCCCCTGGAAATTGCTGGTAAGTTATTTCTTCATTTGTATCTGCGATATTCTAATGTTTTTGGTACTTACTTACAGATTGAAAGTGCTCGAACGATGCTCGACACATCACAACGATGCAACCCATGTACCAGCAATGTATGCTGATGGAAGAGAGGGTTCTGAGACACCAAGGGGAGGCCCTAGCAGAGGGAGACCCATAATGTATGACGCTAAACGGGTCGCAGCACGCGGCTCATTCGCGATTCATTTACTCTTTCACATTCAACTGACCAATTCTATATTTCTAGGATGACGACACACTCTGTCAGCTCCCCTTGTTGCCGGTGACACCTCATTCAAGGCCAGAAGAACATGGCGGTTTGATACCTGCCCCGTGTCATCACGAATCAACACTGGCGATGGCATTGGTGGAAGACCCGCAAGGTCTCAGGTACGTCGCGGAATGCGTGGCAGCACGCTGCTCATCTGCAATTCTTTTTCTGTTTGCTTCCTCTCTTATGACCACGCCTTCTTTGCTCCTGCCGTTCCTCTCATCTTTCTCGCCGCACCGGATGCCTGTGGCATTGACAGGACCAGCAACCATTGCCACCCCGTTCTCAGCCCTGAACCTTCTCAGGTACATAAAATGTTTATTTGCAGGCTATTTTCTTTACTCACACTGTTTTGCTTGCATTGTAGATGCTAGGATGCTCGAGCACGACGTCTTCGATTAACGTCGCAGCTCAGCAGCAGCCATCTCCTCCGAATCCAGCAGCCTAGCAGCAGCAGCAGCGTCAACCCGTCCCTGGGCCGATATGGGATGCTGGAGACAATGCAGGAGTTGGGGATTTTGGGGATTCAGGATATGAGGGTTGGGAGGAGCAGTGAGTGTCTGGTGGCTGTTTATTGCTCTTTCGATCTTTTTCTTCTTGGATTCTGATTCTGATAAATTTTGTCCAGGCCAACGCACCATCTCATGGTGGAGAAAAGCGATGCGTGAGCATCACATGTGAACTCATCCATCACCTCGCCCTCCATCCTTTTCCTCGACGAGCCCACATCGGGGCTGGATGCCTACAATGTGTACAACATCATCGACGGTGTTCCCAAGGATGATGGCGACTATGCTGGCATGCTCAATGATCCCGATGACGTTTCCCTCAATAATGGAAGAGCGCATTTTGTTCCAGCTGCCACGTACATGGCGTACTTGGAACATGCGAGGAAAGAAGTACGTTCCCTGTCACATCTGCATCGTCTTTTCTGACAGGTTTTTGTGCAGGACTCTGTCTGTGCGCACCTTCGAGCCCTCAAGTTCAAATTCTAGTTATCCAGCATTACAATGGATTTATCGCTCTCTTGGTAAGTCTTTGCATGGTATCCTCATAAGACATTTTAACCCATCATAATTGTTCACCTAGTTTTCACCCATCAGTCTCGTCTCCGACGTTCGCAAACTTTGAGCGTCCACACTTAACGATACTTAACCCCTCCAAGATGCATAGTATTACGATGCACCTGAATGCTTATCAGGTTGAAAACCCAACAGGGCTTGTTAAAACCATTACTGAAGAATAATGACAGCATTGTCGAGCAATCCAGGAAGTTTACTATATGACCTGCCAACGACTCATGGGACAGAGCCAAGTAAGCTGCCAATTCTCATTTTTAACATTTTTTAACATATAATATGAAACTGAGAGAAACGATACAGAAGCTCGTTCACTTGGCTTTTTGCTTGTGTGATTAAGTAAGTTGGTCGGAGTCACCTTTAATTATTCTGGAGTCATTTTAATTTAAAAAAACGAGTCACTCGCAAACCATATAAAAGGGAATCATTTCTCCCTTGTCCAAGATCATTCTTAATGTCATCCAATGCCCCCACACAACCTATGGGCACTAACCCTGCTCAAGACCCTCAGCAGCCTGCTATGCCAACGTCCAGTCGCATGCTCCAAAGAGAAGGAGCTCAAATTTTCCCTTCAGCATCACAGACTGCCATTGAACAAGCTATGCTTAGGTCTAGCCCACCGCCTGAACCCCTTCTTGGAAAGCGGATGCGCGAGAACAATGACGAGGATGAGAATGAACCTGAACCCCAAGCCGTAGAACCCTCTCCATCAGATGGACCACCCCAGACTGTTATGCTGTCCATCAGCAATGTTAATGCAGCGACTCTGCGATATGCCACATTTAAGAAGCTTCGTCCTGACCAGTGGGATGAAATAGACAGTTTCTTACTGGTGAGTATTTCATTGATCCATTCCTGGCACATTTGTCTAAATGTTGGATAGGAGACGTCGCTTGGCTGACAGGCCAAAATATATGTCTGTCTGTTATCCATTGAAAACAAGGTAGACACATTTCGGTCAGCCACGCCTCCATACCAGGTATCTGAGGCTCTCAAGGTGTGTTTTCCAATCTGGTCCACAATGCCCTCACTGTTAACCTGTTCTATAGACCAACATCAATAATTACAGTCTTGGTGTTCTCCTCTCCGTCAAACTCAGTGCATATAAAGGCGGCATACCTCGCAACCATGTCTTGGTATGTATTCTCCTTATCGTACAGGCATATATTTATTCCATCTTATTGTATAGGACATCCTCAAGCGCTATCGCTTGGACTTGCCTGCTGGCATTGAACATAACTATGCCGACTGGAAGAAAATTAGCAGCTTCGTTGACTATTCCCTGACCCAGACATGCTCCCGACTTAAAAAGCTGGTAAGAGTTACAGTATTAAGATATTACTCTGACAGGGATTTTTACGTGTTGTCCTTACAGATAAAGGAGAGTATAACTGCAAACACCAATGTCTTTTCCCTTGCCCAGCTTATAGTTCATTCAACACCTTGCCGCCCTACTATTCAGCTCTGTGCTCGGGTTGCCCTTATGGTACGTTGTATCTTGTGTATTCCTAATGCTGTGATCTAAACTACTTTGTTAGCGCGCTGTTCACGTCGAGTATAATGGCGCTGAAAAACTCTGGAATTATATAGATGAATGCCTGGAATACATACGAACCACAGCTACACACTCGGCTGCGGATAAGAGACCTTCCACATCTGTCACCAGGGCTGCACTGTGTGTGTTGCTTCTTGCCTTATTTGTTGATTCACACTTACATCTCTTATAATCAGCGAGGCCTCGGCGACTGCTAAGTGTGTATTACCTCATGGTTCATAATCTCACAGACTTACATTCTTCTAATATACACAGGGCATTCACTGCTATCCTCGAAGCTGATCGAGCGACCTACGGGGACAATGTGTATACCATAGCTGATGTCGTTTCCGATGATTGGCAGCAAAATGTAGATGACGTTGTAGATGGGACCATGGCAGCAACTGAGGCTTGATGGATTATTTATATAGAGCACCGCCATATATAAAAAATGTAGATGTTATCCTTCCTAGACAATTACACATGTGAAAACCCCTGAATTCCCTAAGATTTGATACCACTAGCTGAGCTACTCAGAATGTCATAATGGCGAAATTAAGTGCATAGCGTTTAGCAGTGATAGATAATGTAAACCGTAGGCTACGCTATATCAAATATTATGGAAGTAACTTCATATGGCCATGCAATCAAAAAACATGGGACCTGGACAGCTCGTTTCATGTTTCGAGACATGATTTGATGATGCATAATGTGAGTTGAACAAGGTGGACAGCCCATTGCCACACGCAGCTGGCTAAGGTGCCAAATTTTATAAACTGCTTGCCGCGCTACACGTCCTCCCAATCTCAGGGAACATGGCCCATTCCCGAGTCAGGTAAGACAGACAGCACATAGTTACTTACAACTAGCTGAGCTGCAAAAATTCATGGATACCTTATTGTATTACACCCAGATTTTACATAGTCATCTATGACTGGTTTAGTTGCCAAACCTCATGAACTGCCTATGAGGTTACTCGTGCTAACGATCTAGATACACAGCTCATGCTAATGAGTTCAAGAGGACGAACGATATATGGCCACCTATGATTGGCTGAGGTGCTAAAATTCACGAACAGCGCCTCAGATTACTTGTGCTCATGATGTAATTAGACAGTGCCTAGTGATGAGTTAAAATACACGAATTGCTTACGAGATTACACGTCCTACCAAGGTGGACGTGTCGAGATGGTGTTGAAATCCCGAGGTTGGACTGTTGACAACGTCCCGCTCACGTTGACACCATGTGACAGTAACACCTCACCATCGTGTGAACTTCACGTCGCTAACACGTCCTATCCAAATGGCGGTGTAGCCTGAACTCACGTTGTGACGTGACATTTCTTGTGTGATTATCAACCTAGTTAGGAAATTTTACGTTGGGCGTCTACCATCTCCTTCAATCCCCTGTCCCACATATCGGATATGGTGTAACGGCTAACATTACCGCCTCTCATTCAGTGCACCGCGGTAGCTCGGGGTTCGATTCCCCGTATCCGAATTGGCTTTTTTGGTTGATCTTATTTTCCGCTTTTTGACACCAACGCATTTTCATTCTTCCGAAATGCAGGATATACTTTTATCGCTGAATATGCATCAATTATTCAGAACGTACTAATTAGGACAGAGTAATTGCAATTTCGTGTTTGTGGTTAGATAGATGGAAAAGGGAAAGTGTACAACGCATAAATGAATTATACTTAAAGAAAGTGGGGTGGTTACAAACCTACAATATCAAGTAGGGACGGTAATTGCATAGGGCCTTTCCGAAGGCAGAGACAAAAAGAGAGGCAGAGAAAGACATACTATTCTAATGACATAATTGGCTTGTAGTACGCATGGCGACTGCTGGATTTGCTGTTTAGCGAGTATGGGATAATATAACTTGGGCTTTAATGTTTGTGGAAACGAAAAAAAAGGGCATAAAAACGGAGAAAGGCATATGATCATAGAAGCCAAAGGTGAACGCGTAATTGAGTGCTACGCGGAGGACAAGGGTAGTGAAAAAGAAAACGCTGCAGTCGGGAGACGAGAGCGTATTGAGGAAGAAGATATAAAAATACCAGACGTACAGGCGGCGTCATGCGGTGCGTTGAATCCAACTGGTCGATTGTCCAATGCGAATGTCGTAGACTCGTAATGTAGATGGCTGATGTAGAGAGAGAAATATTAAAAATGCGTGATAATAATACATTTAATTGATCTTGATTGTCTTGAGCCAAATGTTGTTGATACATTGTCGCAAGGCTAGCCCCCTGTTCCCTGATAATTTGCGTCCAGAACGATATCTGGATGTCGAATCGCTACAAATAGGTCTTGCATATATATCCACCAATGAGAGACGCAACAAGAGTAACCACGAAGTGAGGAGCAAATCCCCACATGGTATGAAACAAGTCCACAAGCTGGTCGTTGAAAGAATCTAGAAAGTTGGCCATGGTGGCTATCCAAGGTCTTCCTACAAGTACAACTCCTTGCTGTTGGTCTGCTTCCCATGTGCCCCCAATGACTGCTGTTCCACTGTTCCAGTAGGGATATTTCTTGCGAGGAGTTGCCGCCGTTTCTTCAATGTCTATTGGACGTGTCTTCTGTACGTTGAATAAAGACCCTAGCCCTTGAAGAAGTTCCTTCGGACGTGTCGTGCCCCTGTCAGAAGACTGAACAGTGCTGTCGCTTGACGTAGGGCTTACCGACCGCACACTGGGAGCAACAGGCAGACCATCCGAGCCTATAATCTCGGTAGGGGTCAGAGATCTCGTTTGGGGGATAGGATTGTTCTGTTGAAGGTGGCGATAATTTGGGTTCACTCGATGGAAGTAACCGGTCTCGGGAATTATAAATGAGGGTTCCGACAGTATTCCCGGAGTATAGGTACGATAAACACGGACAGGGGCTCCAGTTGAACTCGACGCGCCGCTTGTTGACGGTTGTGCAGACGAAGGGGGAGGTGGGCTGGGTGGCGGAGAGAGGTACGATGGTCCGGACGAGTCGCTGCTGAGTTCGTCTTCGCCTTCAGTCTTCATGGGAGAGGGAGAGGGAGAGGGAGAAACAAGGCAGGACATTGCTCTGTGCCCTTTCATGGCCTGGCCGCATTTGCGGCACTTGGGTGCTTTCCGCGAGGACATGTTAAATTGCCGAGATAGAGCGCACGATAATTCTCTTTGGTGAACCTGCGGGCTGCATTAGTGACATTGAACAGAGCCTCGAGCGCGCCGAGGAATCATACCTCTCAGCTGATAAACGAAGAACAGAGGAGGCAATCGCTAACGAAATTTGAAATCCGCCACAAGGATTTGGGTCTTCCGGCTAACTTCCTTATATATGATCTCAAGCGAAGTCCATTGTTGGTAATAGTTACAAGTGGATTCTTTCCCTTTCACGGAGTACAAATGGCTATTGTCTGCTTGTCGTCAGTCGCCGATGAGAAGGTTGACAAGGACCTTTGCGTTTTCCGCTCTTACAAGGTGTCAACGATAACGGCATTCCCGATCACCTTCCCACAAACACAAAAACTGCAAGAGTATCATTACATCTAACTCGGCAAGGATACCTGACCTTCGATTAAGCAACTAGTTGCTAGTTGGGAGTTGATGCAGTCTGAGTACTCTCTGAGTACTCTCCGATTAAGTTAGCAGTAGGCTGCAGAACAAACGCGAGTGAATTGGATGATATATTAATATTCAATGAAAGGAAATCAAGTGAAAATATTACAGATCCTCATAAATGACGAATGGGAGTCTGAATGCTTTGTAAACGTACACTGAATGAAGAAAATAATTTAGTCTGAATCCGAGTCCGAGTCTGAGTCCGAGTCATCGGTAGTCCAGTCTCCTGAACCTATATCGGGCTCGGAAAAAAACCCATCATTAAAATCGTCCTGGCATGGCCTGGGTGGACGGTTTATAGGTCGTCCAGGAGGGGCCATCCAAGGCACAAACACGGATAATATCCATCTCATGGTCCGCCAGAGTGGTTTTGTCAACCTGATCGCCAGACGAGGTTGTACATACTGGCAGCGCTCGATGACCTCCCGCAAGGTGTAGGTGTTAGTTGCAACCAAGTACCAGACTTCATCCTTCTGAAAAAAATCCCAGAGGCGATAGCCATGTCGAAAAACAGCCACAGTGTCATCTTCATCCACAGGCATTCGAACTACATCGCCAGAAAGATGTAGTGCGAGGACTTGTGACGAAAACTGTAGACGAATAACGGGGTCTCGGGACACACGATAAATTCGTAGCATGCCTTTCTTGTGGAGTCGTAGTTTCTCATAACTAATGTCGTTGGTGACGGGGATATGAATAGGGTGTTGATTCGTTCCTGGTGTAGGGTGAATAACATATTCCGTCTCATCGTCTGGAATGAACGCTGTTGGCGAGATAATCTTATGAAAAATTTTCCCATCAATGGTGCGCGGTGGTTGTGGAGGCGGAAGCCTTGGAGCTGATTTTCTGGGTAACAGTATTGGATATGGCGCGCATGGCGGAAGAAGGTTGAAGTACACGAGCACGATGTGGAACAATTGGTACAGAAATGCTCCTGGGGTGCTGAAGATATCGAAAGGATTTTCGCCTTCTTTTGGCGACGGGGGCACTGGTTGTAGGAGCCAGTCAGCTACTTCGTCTATGTCTTGACAGTCTTGTTCGTCGATTATGTCCCCTGCATCGCTTCCGTAGTTTGCGTCGATTGAGTCTGGTGATCCAAATCGTACGAAGTGTTTATTCGATGTTCTGGTTCGACCCAATGTCGCCATTTCGGTAATACTTGTGGCGTAGAGTGTAACTGAGGTGAAGTTGGTGGAAAGCACGGCAGAGGAACCGAAATGCAAGTTATGGCAGCAGCTGCTGGCGGTCCAAGCTTGCTAGAGGTCCGAGCAGAAGGTGGGAGCAATGAAGAAAGTAGATTATGCAAACAGACCCTTTTATTCTTTGGCACAAGAGACTCAGTGGCACTGGAGACCAGACAAGATCGCCGAAAGCAGAACAAGAGGTGCACAGCAGAAAGCAGAAACTAACCTTTGTCCGTATTTGGAAAGCAAATCAATTTACCAAAATCACGGGACTCTCTTACCATGTGATTCTTCAAACTCCGATAGACTATAAAGTCAGAACAAGAAAACTTTCCTTCCCTCTAGTGTCCGCATCAACCCTTTGAAGCGCTTAGCGCAAGCAACAGGTGTTAACTCATCTGTATGGCGTTGATACTTTCTGGTTGACGGAGCGAGGTGGTCCTTTCGGGGTTCCGCTCACAAGAACAAGCGAATCCTTCGGGCTCGCCTCTTTGCGTCCGAGTCATTGATTTGGATTGTGGGGTGGCTGACGCTAGGAGGCATTTACATCGTCATATTCCTGTACCTGCCGTATATGCTACTATGTGGCTTTGACGGTGTGGTGAAACCATGACGAGAACAGTTCCTCTTCCTGTCGATCTAAATTGTCCTACGTGTTGTAGAAGCAGAATATATCGGAAGTCTTGTCTTTACACGAATTGAAATTCTCTTACCTCTCTAGGAGAGGTACTCTTTATTACTATTTAGTCGTCTTGACCTTCGAAACTTTTATGTAGGTCATGTAGCGTCCTGATTATAGCATGAAATTTTAAAAGGAAGGAGGATAAAGCACGCGGTTAGCCGTCCGCGTCATTGGTTATGGAACTCACCAGTTCACCGAAAAAAAGGACAGCAGAAGTTAGTCTAAAGGTTGGTCCTAATCCAAACCACTTCATGACTGACCTATTTTGTGTAAATATGTAAATATGCATTACATCTATACTAACACAGATATTCCGTTACTTTAATTTACTGGAATTTGTCGAGGACTGTTTATAATCTTCTTCATCACTATCCCCAACATCGAAAATCGGAGGGTCTGCAAATGGTTCTCTAGCCCTTTCTTTGCCCTTCCGTTGTCGTGTTTCTTCAACATCCTCCTCGCTTTCATTTTCTCGAGTGTTAAGAGGTATGGCCTCATCTTCAGTGTTATGTAAGGGCAGCGACAGAGCTCGCCTTCTTCTAATTCTACACCAGACAAACGTTCCGATGACGGCGAAAACGAGGACTAGGACGATCCCAGCAGAGCCTGCGTTGTAGTACGCCTCCCACATTGCCTTGTCCTGCTCAGGAGTTTTGGCTGGAGTGACTGGCGCTTGTGACGCTTGGTGTTGCTCAACGAAGACCGGTTTGACTTCGTTCCCGATTGTGCTGGGGATTCTCGCAGAGCCGTCGACGATTGCAGAGAAGTTCATGCCCATAAAGCGAAGCATCATGTCGTGCGTTACATGGGGTACATCCCATGGTGCCATGTGAGAACCATTGAAGATCTATCAAAATGTTATCAGAAGATAGAAAAAGCGGCTCCATAAAAGCACTCGCCTTCACGTAGGTTAAGTTCCTAGATGCTACCCACGTTCCTGCTGGAACTGAATTCACAGCCCACGATTGTGTTTGAACAGTCTGTTTGCAACAGGAGTCAATTTACCAACAACTCTTGTTTCTCAAGAATT